GTGTGTGTGTGTGTGTGTGTGTGTGTGTTGGAGACACTACTGTGTGACTTGTTTTACTCTCAGCAGGGTCATCCGAGGGTCAGCAGGAAGAGACAGATTTTATTTTAAATAACATTTATAGCCATTAAATTGGAAATAATCAGATTTCTCTTTGCCTATCAGCTGCAGTTCAAATGTTCTTAATCTGGTGTGAAGAGAACAACAGATCAGGTTCAGAAACTGAGTCCTGCCATCGTWAAACCTTTAAATAGGACTAAGGCCCACAGGTCACATCATTTATGGTTTAATTTAGTAAATATTCATCAAAAAGTCTGACTAGAAAACACATTTTTGCCTGAAAGTGCAGACCAGACCAATCAGAGTAAARCAGATGTTCTTGGAATATATTATATAATCTCCTAGTTTCAGGTTATCTCTCATGTTACAGTCCATGATGCGTACTGATGACATGAATCACCGGGTTTCTCAGCAACAACTGAGAYGGATTGGGGAAAATATGTTCCAGGAGAGGAACTAGATGAACACATGTAACCAGTAAACTGCAGCAGATTAGAACAAAGAGGATCTGAGGGACAGTGGGACAGTCTGATGAAAACTTTAGTTTCCCCCTTCTTGTATGTCCATCCATCCATCCATTTTCTGTACATTTTCTGTCTTCCTTTTCAGGGTCGCGTGGGTCACTGGTGCCCATATCCAGCAGTCACAGTGCGAGGGGCAGGGTACACCCTGGACAGGTCGCAAGTCCATCACAGCCCTTCTTGTATGTATCGCCTTAAAAAAACATGCAGTCTTTTATTTTTCTCCCTCTTTAACACATTTGTTTCTCTCTGGCTCTCTCTAGTGGTCAATAAGAGGCAAAGCAGATTATTTGAATTCAAACCTGGACTCAGGAAGAAAGCAGGCGCCCCCTGGTGGYTGACTGCAGCTCATGCTTTAATCCTTGTTTTCTAGATGTTCTGTTGAATTAAGTATTTAAATGTAAACATTTCCAATAACTGTTTAGTTGTATTGTTTAGTTTGTATTTCAGTATTTCTGTAAAGGTGGTTGATCATGTAACTATATAACTTTTTACATTTTTGGCTTTAACTGCTGAAGTAAAACATTTCATAAAAAATGGCTCCAGCTCGGTTTTTCAGTGGTAGTGTGGTAGTTGCTGAGAGTCATCCACAACACACTCTTTGAGCAGACTGAGATTACACATTAAAAGTTTTTACACAGCTTTAATTCTCTAAAATGAGACGATCTGAACCTAAAACTCATCAGGATGAGTCTCTAACTTTAAATTCCAGATTCATCTCAAACAACATCAGAAACAATTATTTTGCTGACCTCATGATTTGCATATAAATTATGTAAAAAACTAAATCATGAGTCATCACCAGCGAAGCTTTGAGAAGCAGGACACAAACACAAGTATAAACAACAACAACAACAACAACAACAACAACAACAACAACAACAACAACAACAACAACAACAACAA